CTGGCTGTCTACATCTAAACTCTCTGATAATCTCAAACAGAGAATGAAGAGTATGGGGCATATATAAATCTGAGGGTTTTTCATTTAGCATTTCCATCAAAGTGAGACAATCTCCACAAGGCAGAACATAAAACTAAGCTAGAACTTGATTGTGTGAAATCAGGTTTGAGCCTCTAGAACAGGGGTGTCAAACTCGCGTCATCACATTGTCATCATGTGACGTATCACAACTTTTTCCACCTTGGCTAACACAAGGGTGGCCAGCGCGTGATGCATCCGGCCTGAGGGCCATGAGTTTGACACCCTGCTCTAGAGATTACACCCAACACATGCAGCATTCAGACTCAGAGCACAATGTGACGTTCAAAAAATGACTATATTCAATTAGGGTTCTATTAACTCCAAAGATAAGAAGTCTTACATGCACACAACTGGGATATATGTTATCAACTGGGATACCATCAAGTCCTAACTGTAAATATTATTTAGACTCCACCTTGAATAGAAAGGACAAAGAATTGATGTAATGATGTAATCTTCACTGCATTTATTATATGTGCCCTTCAGGAAGTAGTATTTTGAAAAATAACTTCAAAGTATTTGTACATTCTTACCTGTTCAATATTATGACAGCTGATTTGCCAATTACGTTTGATTTTCCTTCTAATAGAATCCTCCTTAATTCAAGTGTTTTAAAGAACAAAATAGCACCACTGTTTATGTAGAGCCCAAGGAAGGGCAATTTTGGAAGGTAAAACATAGGATCATAAATAGTTTGGATATATTTTAAAGTTCAACAGACAAGCTATAGCACAGTTTAGCATTAGCTTTCTGGAGTTCTCTTTAATAATATACCATTATGTAGCCAAACCATTGAGCTTGTATGTCTGAACTGTTTCCAATCTTTCCTTTGGGTATCCTTCTTCCTTACTTCTGCCTTGCATTGACTCTTTCCAAGATTTCAAATGAAAAATAACCAGGGTGGATTTGATTTAAATCGAGTGATTTAAATCACAATTTAAATCATGATTTAAATCACTAGTAAAAAGGCTTGATTTAAATCAACTCGATTTAAATCATAATTTTTAAAGAGCAACTGTCATCTCTGCTACTCCTTTGACCCACTGTTGACTCACCGATAGTCCTGGAGTTGCAGAATATACAGCCTCATGCTACATAACTAAGCTCCATTTCATGCTGAATAAACTAAATTATTTATGTATCTTAAATAGAAAACTATCTTACGATAGATTTTTACCCCAAAAATTTTTTATTAAAATAAATTCGATAAAAATCAAAAAAATCCGGTTGGCGAGCTGCAGCGACATGGTGCTGAGTGAGTGATCGCTACTCCTCAACACCGCCTGTCACCACGTTTTGGGGATCCCTTCAGGGACGTGGGACCTGGAGAGCCCCGCGGACAATAGAGAGAGTCGGGTGAGCGAGAAAGTGAAGCGCAAGCACTTCTCGCAAAAACTGGGCGGCTCTGTCAAACCAGCGTGAGTGAGTCAGCCTCTCAATGGCTGACTTGAAGCTGTGGTAGCTGACAACTAGAAGGAAGCAAGGAAGATCGGAGGTTGCAGTGGCGTGATCGAAACTTACTTTTCCTGCCTATGTGGATTTGAACATCAAAAAGGGGTCGGCGTAGACGAGCGCGAGGGGCTCAAAGTGGAAACGAGTGGCGCCGGAGATCAAAGAGCAGTTTGCTAAGGCACAGAGCTTGTCTAGCCGGCGCAGAAAAGGAAAGACTGAGGACGCTGAAACTGCCTGCGTAAAAAGAGGTTTGGTGGACACAGAGAGCAAGGAACATATAAGAACTCAGAAAAATTTTGTTCCTCATTTGCTGGCCATAGCAGGAAGGTGAATCAAGCTGAAGATCGGACCTTACTTGCCTGTACCAGAGAACAGGAAGTGCAGCCATTAAAGAAGCCTGACAGAGCAAAAACTGAAAAGGACAGGCATAGAGACAATCTAGCTGCGAGATTTATCGTAGAGCTTTGGCTGTGGCTAAGGAAGGATTGGAGGAGATTGATGACTGAGTGGGGAAAAAAAAATCAAAATCAAAAAACTTTATCTTTGTGGAAAATACCATTTGTCCCTTATTGCAACTTGATAGCTTTCTTCTTTCTTCTTTTTACTTTTAATAACGCTGTCCTTAACTTCCTGACCTTCTGCATAGTAATAGTGTTATTAATAAGAACTGTTAATTTTTAGGTTATTTAAGTCTTGACTTTCCTTGCTTACAAGATATACTCTTATATAGTGTTATTTGATTTGCATTCATCTAATTAATTAATTAATTATCTAAGTATACTTACTTATAGCTATAGTAACTTTGCATATTTTATATATTAACTTATTAATATTTAGTAATATAAGAACTACAGTATTTAGCTAATTAATTCATTGGTATATAGTCATATAGGAGTTTGAAGGAAAACCATTTAAATCTTTTCTAAAAATTATTTAAAAACTATCGTTATTTAAAATTATCCTAAAGGGGAAAAAAAAAAAAGAATATAAAATATTTAACTAACAGCGTTTGAGCCTCTAGATACTCTTTTCCCAGTATCCTGATTGTTAAAACTACTATTACCAGCAAGAATTGTAAATATATCCATAATTTTTTTTTTCCTTGGGCCAGATATATATATTATATTTTCAAGCAATGGTATTTTAAATTCCTCTATATTGATTCCGCTGTTTAGTATCTATAGTACTTAAAATTATAATTGTATCTATAATCAAGTATTTAAAATTCCTATATATAGTATTTATAGTATTTTAAGCATTTAAGAGTACAACACTTAGCTAAATTAATTGATACACTGATTGTGAATTGTTGATTAATTGATATATTGATTGTCTAGTATTGAATTGTCTAACTTATAACTGCTAAGCCAACTTAATACATATTAACGATATATTGAATATAAGGTATTGTTGCGAAGAGATTTAGACCCCTTTATAGATATTGATAGTGATTGTCCACTGGAAAATTAGCTTTATTCATCCAAAGATTTATAAGAAATAATTTGATATATATATATATATATATATATATAGATAGATAGATAGATAGATAGATAGATAGATAACAGAGGCGCTAACTGGCGAATGAGAATTTGGAGTAATATTGATAGGATAATTAGAGAGCAAAAAAAAATCCTGAAAGAAATGACAAGCATGTCATCAACAGTGGGGAAAACAGGAAAAAAGACTCCCTCTAATCCCACCATCGCTACAACCTCTCTGGCAACACAGAAATCAACAGAAGGCCTGGCAATGCAAACTCTGCAAGCGTCGTTAACTTTGATTCAAGAAACGATGATGGCAATGCAGGAAAAGTTGTTAAATAACCATGTTGAATTAAAATCAGATATACATGCATTGGACCAGAAAATGAATGAAATCCAAACATCAATATTCAATAATGAGCAACGAATTCAAAAAGCCGAAACAAGAATTGACCAAACCGAAAAGAAATTGGATATCGTGGCCCAAGCATTAACAAGTCAAAATAAAGAGTTAGAAGATTCAAAAATCAAAAAAATCCGATTTAAATAAAAAAAATCCGATTTAAATAAAAAAAACCTGATTTTTTTGATTTTTTTAAAAAAATCATTGATTTTTATCCACCCTGAAAATAACTGATAATCATCCATTTAAGACAATTTGAATTGAACTACAAAATACTTATTTAACTAGTCTTGATGTTATTAGGACTTTGACTGAAGATAATCCTCTCTTTAAAGGCCTTAGCAAACTGAATAAACTTATTTCTGGCAAATCTTCAATTCAAATGGAAAAGCAGAACTGAAAAGCATTTATTATGCTAAGACACTACAGGTAGTCCTTAACTTACAACCACAGTGGAGACCAAAATTTCCATTCCTAAGCAAGATAGTTGTTAAATGAGTTGTGCCCTAGTTTACAACCTTCTTTGCCACAGTTAAACAAATTACTGCAGTTGTTAAGTGAATCATCTGGTTCTTAAGTGAATCCTGCTAAATTACTGTATTTATCATATCTTTAAGTCAGGCAAATAATAGATGATCATCTCCCTTGCCTAATGGAGGGAGATAAGACAAATCCTGAATACAAGATTCCATTATACAGGCTAACTTAAGTTACCTGTTACCACCAATGTGGCACCAGGTTAGATTATTGCAACACGCTCTACATGGGGCTACCCTTGAAGAGTGTTCGGAGACTACAGTTGGTCCAGAATGCAGCTGCGTGAGCTGTCGTGGGTGCACCTAGATACACCCACATTACACCAATTCTCCGTGAGCTGCACTGGCTTCCTACTGGTCTCCAGGCACAATTCAAGGTGTTGGTTATTACCTTTAAAGCCCTACATGGCTCAGGGCCAGGCTATCTTCAAGACCGCCTTCTACCGCATAGCTCCCAGAGATCCCATAAGATCCCACAGAGTTGGTCTCCTCCAGGTCCCGTCAGCTAAACAATGCCGGCTGGTGGGCCCACAGGGGAGGGCCTTCTCTGTGGCTGCCCCAGCTCTCTGGAACCAGTTACCTCCTGAGATCCGGACTACCCACAACCCTACTGGCCTTCCGTAAAACGGTGAAGACCTGGCTTTTCCGGCAGGCCTGGGGCCGTTGATCTCGCTGTTGCGATCTTGTGAGATCCGGCCATGAATGGTGTGCATGGGCTTTTAATGTTTTTTAAATGTTTTTTAATAATTTTCCTATGTTCTTTGTTGTATTATTTTTTGCTGTAAGCCGCCCAGAGTCCCTTGGGAGTTGGCCGGCATAGAAATTTGATAAATTTGATTCGAAAGTTCGATTCGACACTCTATTATTAAATATAGGAAATACTCCTCCAGTTTATACTAAATATCTTGAATCCAAAGTTGAAGCTCCAGAGAAAACAAATAAATTGATAATCTTACTGCAACAATGTCTAAATTTAACAGAACAAGCCAAAGATTAACTGGTCTGATGGCTTTAATTTGGCAATACTGGTCTTCCAACATTCACCTAGATTTGAAGCATGCATTTCCGCACACGTTTGCCCATGGTTGGTGAAGCCACTGTCTTCTCAAACAAGTTTTCTGGGTCTGCATAAGACACCGAAATTAAGCTAAGCATACCCGATTGGTTTCCCACAGCATAATATACTGAAGCGTAACTACACGTGAATACAATCTATCCATATCTTTGACAGCCACTTCTTCATGTTTAAAATGCGTGGATAGAAACCACCTGCGCATTCCGACAAGGAGCCCCACCCACAGAAACGAGAGCTGGAAGACAAAACAGAAGCCAGAGCGGCTGCCGGAAAGCGCGGCATCGCGCTTCCGGAAGTGACGATAGCCTTTTTCGGCCGAGCCGGCCCCTGGGAAAGTTAGTTGGGAAACCCTGTTCTTTCTTTCGCTGCTGCTTTTGCAGAAGGTGGGTGGGAGTCGCTCTCGCTCGTCCAAGCTTTGCCCGCGGGGGGTGGGGGGTGGGGGTGGGGAGAGTGTCGGTCTGGTCACTCACTTCCTTTGTCGGTTTATCTTTCTGTCTCCTTCAGGCACCATGCCGGCTAAGGGGCCCCTCCAGAGCGTTCAGGTTTTCGGCAGGAAGGTGAGGCTCGCGTGGTTGTTCGAACGGGCCTAACTCGTCTCCTCTTCCGCCATAAAAAGCCGAGAAATTGAGGGGGCAACGGGAATGTTCTTGTTGCCCGAAAGTTGCCTTGGCCCGCCCGGCTCCTCCACAGCCACGTTTTCTTTCCACTTGGGATTTGGCCTAAACCTGGGCGAAGGAAAACGGGCTTCCTTGGCGCTTTCTCTACTCCTCGTGCGGGGCTTTAACTGCGGCACGTGCGCTGGAAGGGCGGATAAGCGGTTCGACGTGTTCTGGGGATGGGGCTGCGTGGGGGGTTGAAAGAGGGTACCGCAATTCCCGCCATCCTTTGCCGTTAACCAAAATGACTGCTACCATAGGAATTGGTTGCTTATCTTTCGTGAAGACCCATTCTAACCAGCTCCCAGATTAGGTAGGTAGGTAGGTAGAAAGAAAGAAAAAGAAAGAAAGAATGAATAAATTAATTCTTTATTGGCCAAGTGTGATTGGACACACAAGGAATTTGGTGCATAGGCTCTCAGTGTACATAAAAACAAAAGATACATTCGTCAAGAATCATAAAGTACAACACTTAACGATAGTGATAGGGTACAAATAAGCAATTGAATCATACTAGGAAACTATAAATCGTAAGGATACAGCAACAAGTTAACAGTCATAAGTGGGAGGAGATGGGTGATAGGAATGATGAGAAGATTAATAGTAATGCAGACTTAGTGAATAGTTTGACAGTGTTGAGGGAATTATTTGCTTAGCGGAGTGATGCCATTTGGGAAAAAACTATTCCTGTGTCTAGTGGATCTGGTGTGCACCAATTCATGTTCAAATACCCAGTGTCGCCCGAAGGCATAATGGATGGCAAACACATTTAACAAATAATACATAAATGTTTGGCATAAGCTCAGTGGCTTTGCAATAGAATGTACTTATCTCAAAAATTTCTCATTTCATCTTGTAATCACTGGATTCCTTTTTTTTTTTTTTTAGTTTCCTATCAGTTGATTGACAATTGCATCTATAATTTAGGTTTCTTGCTTCATGGCAACAAAAAGTGGGATAGATAAAACTTTCCGTTGATTGGTTTCAATAGCAAGATATATATACAGTGATAATTAACAGTGATGTATGTAGTGGAATATTCTGGTTGTTTATATTTTTTGCAGTGCTGATCTGTCTTAAATGCTATAACTTTGCCTAATATTTTTATTACCAAACCAACCCTCATTTAGAAAACTGCTACTGCAGTTGCTCACTGCAAAAGAGGAAATGGGCTTATTAAGGTGAATGGAAGGCCTCTGGAAATGATTGAACCCAGAACTCTCCAATACAAAGTAAGTTATTTTCTATGTAAATATAATATATTTTGTGACTATGTATAAAGTAATAACTGTTTCCTATAGTTTTTTTCCCCTCTTCTCTTTAAAGACTTATAGTTCTGGTAAAGGGAGAGTGAAATTCAAGTGGGTTTGAATTGTTCCTTGATAAATATAGTTAACGGTTTTGTAAAACTCTTTTATCTATGTTATTCAGAATCACCTGCCTTGTCATTAAAGTTCCAATGTTTTACATGCATTTTTGGAGAACTAGGCAAGATTTATATTGATGTTTGCTTGAATGATTTCTGTCAATAGTACTGTTTAATCCTGGTATTCAGTACTTTTGTGCTGGAATACAGTAATTGAAAGCTGTAAAGATTGAAAGCAAATGAAATGGTTCTATTTGTTTCTGTGTCATTGCATGCAAGTTAGTTGTAACTCTTGGAGGAGTTATTTAAGGATACTCTGTTGAAATATAATGAAATCATTGGGTGAATTGTTAAGATAGCGAGATATAAGTTTCTTGGATGAAAGCAGAATAGTTACTATAATTTCACTTGGTGATGTAAAAATAGTAAATTCAAAGAATACTGATAGCTTATATTCTATAAATCTAATGTATGTTTACTCAGACATTTCTGCCTTAAATGGGAAGCTTGTTTAGGATTATAACTAAATGCTTTTTCTTTCCCAGCTGCTTGAACCAGTACTTCTTTTGGGCAAAGAGCGCTTTGCAGGAGTTGACATAAGAGTCCGTGTGAAGGGTGGTGGTCATGTGGCCCAAATATACGGTATGAGCAGCTCATTTTACAGCAGAAAAGTATATTATTAAATGTATCAGCTATCCAAATATAACAACATGTATACTTGTAAAATCTGTTATCGCCTGTATTAATCAGTTTCTAATCGGATATTTCTAGATGTATTTTACTGATTGATAGTCCACCTGATTTACAAGTTTAGAGAAGTCTGCTATATTGTATTTGGTGTTTTGCTCTGTAGCAGATTATTGCTGTTTATCATTGTTTATACATATGTATAGATACCAGAGAGCCAGTTTGATCTAGAGATTAAACCAGGAGACCATGACTTCTGCTTGAAACTTTAGCCATGAAAGCCAGCTGGTCACTTTAGACCAGTCACTCTCCACCCAACCCACTAGTAGTTGTGGGGAAAAGAAGGTGGGTTGGAAAAGTGAGATACAAATAAATACTAATGTAAATCTGAAGTATTGCTCCAAAGACTCCACAGTTAAAATACCTGATTTAACTTTTACCAGCAACATGCAGCATTTTTGTTTCAACTTAATATTTTATTTTACTTATTTCTTCTACAGCAATTCGGCAATCTATTTCCAAAGCACTGGTGGCTTATTATCAGAAATGTAAGTTTTCATTAACTTTATTTTTTGCTGCTTTTCATCCCATTCATGTATACTTAAGCCAATATTGACCATATAAATTAAGTGCTTCTTGAAAGATTTTATTTCTGGATGCTTCCTATAAATTACCCTTTCTGAGCAATATTAGAGGACTAATTATAAACAATAGCTTCAAAGTCTAATACAGATGTTTCATTTTTCTCAAGATGTTGATGAAGCTTCTAAGAAGGAAATAAAGGATATCCTCATCCAGTATGATAGGACCTTGTTAGTTGCTGATCCTCGGCGTTGTGAGTCCAAGAAGTTTGGTGGACCTGGTGCTCGTGCACGTTACCAAAAATCCTATCGTTAAAAGGAAACTTTTTGTCTATTTGAAATAAAGGATAAAATTTAATAAATAACCTGTGTTTCTGAGAACTATATTTCAATCTGTTTTTGTGAGGTTTAAGGGGAATGCTTCATATGTATGATACAGAATGCATCCATGATTAGAGTCAGTGTCAAAATTATATTAGTTTATTTCAACTTCTGTCTTAGTGCAGTCTTAAGGGTTTACTCAACATGAATTATAACTTAATTAGACATAAAAAAATACAGTTCCATAAAAAAATATAGTAAATTGGGCTAGCACTTAATATTATCTGGTGTGAATAAGAAATATGTCCTATTTCAGTTTCTTTGGCTTCACTTCAGCTACATTGCAGACATTTCAGAACAAAGTCCTCCATTCAGTGGATGCTGTAGATTGTGATCCTAAACTCAATAGTAAATATTTTTACCACAGTGTAACAAAGCATATATGGAATTCTGGACAGTAGTAAAATAGTAATTAACTTATAATTAGAATTACTAGGTTTTGTTTAATTTTGTTAATTTTGTATAATTTATTTTCAAATTACAGAAACATCTAATGTCTCCCATACAATCTCCCATGTATTGCAAGATTCTGTATCTACCAGATACTAGTTTGTAGTGTTAATAGATTTGCATACAAAGTTCTCAGTCCTGCCTATAATTCCCTCTATAATGAAAAAATAATATTTAAACACACGGGGTGAGCTTCCGTTACTTGTCCCAGCTTCTGCCAACCTAGCAGTTCGAAAGCACATAAAAAATGCAAGTAGAAAAACAGGGACCACCTTTGGTGGGAAGGTAACAGCGTTCTGTGTGCCTTTGGCGTTTAGTCATGCCAACCACATGACCACGGAGATGTCTTCAGACAGCATTGGCTCTTCGGCTTTGAAACGGAGATGAGCACCGCCCTCTAGAGTCGGGAACGACTAGCACATATAATAACTAATTGGGCTTTTGAGCACATAGCAATAAGGTCAAGTGCTTATATAAAACGGGGTCTTATTTTCAGGGAAACACGGTATATATATATAAAATATATTTTAAAGGACATTCCAAACATCATTTTTATCATATTCTTCATAATTCCTTTGATAGCCTAACTATTGTAAAGGACTCTGATTTTGAAAAGTTAAATGGGGTTAGGGCCTGTTTAATATTAGAATGAGACCATCAAGAAATCCCTGAACTGAAAACTATTCGAAGTAGAAAAAATCCTGAAAGAAAGCAATAGAAAAATGCTTCAATTTTACTAACAGAACAACACAGATGTGCCAAGTCATTCCAGCTTGGGGAAGATTGTGATATTTAAGAGAATTCTTGGGTGGAGACAAAAGCTTTATACATATATCTATAATTAAAGATTGTTGATTTCTCAACCATCCTAGTTTATTGTAAAAGGGAGGATCATTTCCTGTTTGAGAATTACTAGTGATGACTACGAAACTAAAGTGCCTCATTTACTTGGTTTCACATTTTCCTAAATAATTTTGCATCTTAAGCAGTGGGCTTCTCTGCTTCCATATTGTTTCCTAACTACTGATAATAGAATTCTGCCACATTCCAGAACATTTCCTATCAGTCTGAAAAGAATAATTGTTCATAATCTCAGTGTACTGGGAATATTTATGTACATATTTGTATGGTCTATGTGTCAACTCTCAAAACGACTAGCTGAAGACAACATTCAGCTGGAGTCTGAGGA